TGTGTGTGTGTGTGTGTAGGGATTTTCAATATAAAAGAGTTACTTAACTGTTTTCCTTCAGGCCTATTTTTTTAAATGAGGACAACCGAGCCAGCTGTTGGCACTCTAGTTTTCCTTTTACTAAAAAAGTACACAGTGCGTGAGCGTGAGTCAACGATGAGATGTAAGCCGTGGAAGTGGTACTGAAGAACTATTTTTTGGCTTCCTGTCTATAAACCCACAAAGTACACCCCTCTCCCATTTGTCTTACATACAGGTGTCATCATTTTGATGTAAAAATGTGTATTTCAGCTCTGTGAGGAAGCTCTCCGACACACACCTTGTCAATTCTGATGGAAAAATACATCAGTACAGAAACAACACCTCTGCTGCGTCAGTCTGACTCAGGTTTTAGCTCTGATTGGAGGGATAGTGTGGGTGCTAATGAGAGACAGTTCTGTTGTATTAGATCCTCCCTGTGGGAACACAGCACTCCCAGTCTTACTTCTATTACATTGTCTGAAACACAAGCACAAAAAAAAGTGTACTGAGCAGGGGTGTATGTGGGCCACATGGCTGCATTTCTATGGAAATAGAAACAGAATGATTTCTAAGGCACCACACTACACGATACACTTCCTATCTGGTTACAATAAAGAAGAAGGGGGAAAGGGTTACGGATCAGTAGAAGAGGGACAAGAAGAACACTTTCTTTATGAGTTGGGAAGGAAGTTAAGTAATTCAGCGCAGCATGGAAAGCAACAAACACTTGTACAGTCTGTTTCGTGCCATACTTGAACCTCAGGGGCAAACCCCCTTGGTTCAACTTAGTCACATAACTTGACATTTAGTAAGAAAATAAAAAAAAAACAGGCAATTTTCTCTGGGGCTGTCCCGGCCCGCTGTAATCCTCCATCCACACTCCCTTTCTTACGTTTACGAGCTCATGAGTAATTTAAGTCCAGCTTTACTTGAAAGAACCGAGAGAAGTTAGCAAGAGGGAAGTCTAAAACAAACCCCCAGTCTAACAGACCCCATTACGTTTCCATCAAAATATTGAATATCACCAGCTTCATCCCTTATATTTTCTCATTGTCAACAAATCCTGTGAAACCCAAAACCAACAATAAACTGATCCTGCTAACAAGTATAGCCAAAGACCTGCTATTGCTTATCCATCAGTGCCATAAACCAGGGGTTCCCAAACATTTCAGTGTCAAGGACTCAAACAGATAGACCATAGACCCCCAGTTTAAGGAATCCTCTCTGAGTATTTGATTTACTTTCAGGTTTGAAGATTAAATAATCACAGTCAATCAATGATCAAACTCAGATCACTATAAATTCCAATCAATCAAAACAGCCAACCTTTGTTTCATTGTTGCTCGAATAAAAGTTGATAAAAGATTATTTGAAAAAATGATTTTTCTTCTTTTGCTGGTGACACCCTACAACCCACTCAAGGACCACTGTTGGTCCCCGGACTGCAGTTTGAAAACCACTGCCATTGATGACAATTGTTCCACAAGACTAATAGTCATGCTATGTGAGGCTGTACCAAGGCATAGTGCTTCTTTGAACTAAATGCTAACGTCAGCATGCTGTGGACCCCAGGAGGACTAGTGACCACTCTGAGGAAGCTAATTGGGATCTAATTTAAGAATGTTAAAGAATATTTAATACTTAATACTTACATATTAATGTTAAGTAGGTAATATTTTCTATGTATATTCTATCATCTTAATTTGGCAAAGTTAGTTTTGCAAACACAAAGTGCAGCGGAGGCTGATGGGATTGTCATTGGTTTAAAGATATTTGGTCTTAAAATAAAGTGTTAAATTAAAAATTTGACCTCGCAGTGGCTCTAGAGGGGGAATAAAAATCAGTGGATCACCAAAGAAATTAGGATAAACTGTAGCGACCAGGAATGTTTTACAGGATAGGTGAAAACTTGACCTGCTGGTGGCGCTATATGAAAAGTCAGTAGGTTCCATCCTCTGGGGACTGTTAATCTATATCAAAGCCACCAACCACCAACAGACATTGACGTCCATTCAGCCTTGTCGCTAACATGGCTAAAACACGTCAATGCTGTGTACAGGGTGACTGCTACTTTATTCTGACTGGATGGAAGGCAAAAAGTGATTTTCCGAGAGGATTTACATTCACAATAATGTCAGCCGTATGCTATAAAGTTCTAATAAAAACAATTCTTTCACCTTGATTACACATTTTCTAAACAACGATGTACATCTGCTTAATTAAAAAAATGACAATTCTACATATCATTAGCTAAAAACGTTGTTATGGCAAACGTGCTAGCAAGCAATTTTGTACACATTTACACATCCTGCAGACACAGAGCAGCGTCAGCATCCATTTGGTCCTATTCTCTGGCCACCTGATGAATGAAGTCCAACATTGCCTCTCCTGCTACAGCTGCCTGCTGCAGCTAGAAATGTGGTTGTGACATGTTCCACATTACACGTTGATCCACTTTTATTATTTCCTTTTCATACAGTTATACAGAATCCTGTTTCCATTACCTGTGTCACTGTGGCTAGAATTCATTCATTTCTGCGACTACTGAATATGGCCGAGCTGAAGAGTATGAGCAAAACAATGTTACAACAGATTGGAAAAACTTTCTGAAGTTTCCTCACATCCTGTTTCAGGTAGGAATGTGTCAAGACACAGTTTCCATGTAACTTTATGTGTAAAGTGATGGAAATAATTAGTATAATGTTGTTATTAGTTGGAGTTAGTTAGCCTGTTAGGCTGACTCTAAATGAGTGTTCCATCCATGGAATTAGACAGAATGTTCCTTACTTTCCTACTATACATATTGGCTTCTAATTTGGCTTCAGATGTTCAGGTGTCGCTCTTTGTCAAATTGACATTGAGACATCTTTCTGTTCTAAAGAACAGTCATACTGTGGATTATGTGGTTAAGACTTGAGTGGAAAGAGGTGGTGATGCCAGTGCACAGATATAACACAAACACACAAGCCACAAATGCACTGCATGTTTGCTCTGCATGGTGTTTACCACAGAGGGCACACTGACAGGATGCCATAATTATACTGAATGTACGAAGCTACAGGAGTGTGTGTGTGTGTGTGCGGGTGTAACTTGTGTGATGTTATATGTATGTACTACACATGCATTAATGAAGTGAGAATTCAGGAAATATGTTTTAAAGACCGAGAAACACTGTAGCCATAGTAACTTGATAGATATCTGTGGTATCAGTGAACAGCTTCCTTCCTTAGAAGAGGAAATAACTAAGGCCTTTTTACACAGTTTGTTTTTTAGACAAAGATATTTCACATGGATTTGCAATAGTAGAAAATTGTCATGCACTTCAATGTCCGAATTTCTCAGTTGAAAGCCAGTAAAAATATTAGGAATAGACTATGCTATGTGCTAGGCTAATCTATGTTGAAAAGACAACCACAAGGGGTGGGGCTTAGGAAGGGTTAATTCAGGTTAGGGGGCACAAGCAGTGTAGTAAAGATCCATTCTTCAATAAATATGTAATGAATCAAACTACACTCGTGTGATTCTACCATGATTACCTTGAGGGCTTTGGTGGCCATTGTGGCGGCACTCTGCATCATGCCATCAGCAATGCCCAGCCTGTCAGTGTTCTGGAGGAACGGTGTTACCAGGGTGACATACTTGGCGCCGCTCCAAGGCTTAAGCAGATTTAGGGCCCAACGCTCCGTGTCCCCCCCAACATTATCCAGGATCAGGTCAAATCTTGAGGTGAAGAGGGGTAGGGTTGGTGAAAACAAGAGACACAAGCAAATGTGGGGTTGGGAATAAAAGAAAAAGGGAATGAAAGGGAAAATGTGTAGGTGTAAAAATGGAAGGGTAGATGACAGAAATGGGGAGAGAGATTAGTCTGAGTGTGACTAAGTTTGTGCTCACTTTTCCCACACTAATGAGCTGCTGAAGGGACTGGGTTGTTTTTGTAACAAGTCACTGACACACACACACACACAAACACACACACACTCCAATTAAATACCAACATGAATGAAAAATAGATGTGTGTGTGTGAAATTCTCTCACTTCTCCAGTGCACTGAGCGGCTCCTCAACAGGCCCAGCGGTGTAGTCCACCACATGGTCTGCCCCCAGGACCTTTACAAACCGCTCGGCATTCTGGGAGCAGGTAACAGTCACATGGGCCCCCCAAGCCTTCAGCATCTGGACCCAAATGATAGTATCAGTTTCCTCTTCGTGTGAAGAAGTGCGTCAGAATTGCTAAATTTCCACAGAGATTTGCAAAATTTATGTCGTAACTACCAAACAATTGTTTGTTTGGTTTACTGTAGGGAGCAGAATGTTACCCAATGTTTGAGAAGCACAGAGAATGTATAATTAATGAGATGAAGTGTTACATATGTGTAATGTGAGCTCCGTTATTCAGGTCACCGACCAAGGCGCGTCTGAAACCTGACAGGCCAAACACACCACTGACGCCACATGATCGGTGTTGTTTGTTTCTACACACAGTAGGGCTGATCATATTCATTTTTGTACTGAAAGCATGCTGTTGTGCCACATAATGTGTAAAACATGCAGTTTGCATCCTCCTCCTCTTGGTCCATACCTGTATAGCAAATGTTCCCACTCCCCCGGATCCTCCAAGGATCAAAATCCTGCGGGGACGAGGAAACGCCATGTCATGTACGATCAATGTGTCAACAATGTTTTCTACACTACTGTTGTGCAGACTCTCCCTCATTAGGATTAACGTCAAACGCACTCCGGGCCTTTAGCGTGTCAAGTTCACTGCGGTGTGAAGGAGTGTCTGAGCCGCTGCCAGAGAACCGGGGCACATCACCCAGAGGCTCATTACGGAGCGGGCTAACAGGGGCTAAGCTTAGAAGGAACACCGCGTGGAATAATTGGCTAGATCAAAGACAGGGAGCTTCTATGGGGTGGACAGGGATTAACAACAAGTGGAAATTGTGTGTGTGTATGTGTGGCGTGGCAGTGTTTGTCCACGCTCCCTCACCGCTTATTGGCACAGTTGTCCTTGCTGAGTCCACCGGTGTTGACCAGAGCTGACCAGGCAGTGGTTGCCACATAGGGTAAGGCTGCTGCCTGTGTGTGGCTCAGCGACTTTGGTTTGTGGGATACCTGAGCACAACACACAGTCATAATGATAGCAGCACTGCTACAACAGCATTCAGCAGTACACCTGCTGAGTCATTGTGAAAAAGCACTGAGCCAGATGTAGCTCATCCTTCAGGACTGTCACAACACTAGAATTTTAAATTTGATACAATACTGGTAATCAAAAAAATGTAATAATACCACAGCAATAAGAAAATGTCACTGAACACATATTATACATTATAAAGCAGTTGATTTCCTCCCCCATTGTTTCATCTGAGCAGCTTTGGGTCTGATTGGAGATCTGTTTTTTTATAGCTTCACTACTTACTATACATTGATAGTAGTGTATCATTTTAAACATGTGATATTG